CACAGCGGGGTTCGGTCGGTCCCCATCTTCTCGAGGTGCCTGGACATGACGCAATGTGCACACAGCGGCACGGGGAGGGGCACAGCAGAATCAGCACTGAGCGCTCCCCGAAGGCCAGGGACATGCGTCAACCGCCGTCTTCCCGGTCCTCCCAGCAGAGGTGGAGGCCATCTCTGCTGGGCTCTTGGCTCGCCTAGGAACTTGCTGTACTCACTAGGGTCTTAGCAAACCTGGGACAAGCAGAGCCTTCAAAGGCGCTTGAGCAATGAGGTTTGCCTCTGGTTACGGCAGGGAGTCCGAAGGCCACAGTGGGAGGACACCAGGGCCTTGGCCTCCCTGGAATGAGGGTCCGGAGGGGAGAGACTTCGCCAGCCCAAGAATCAAAAGGATAGGTGGCAGTTGTTTTGAGTTTCTTGGCAAAACAAGCACTTAGCTGCTCCAGCTAATAAACAGCAGCACCTAAGAATAAATCAAAGTCGAGGCAGAGAAGAGGCCCCTCTAATTCTCCCAGTTGTATACTCAAGGGCCGAATGAGAAGAATTGGAGATTAAATTCCTCCGGAAACAACTTAGGTAGGCCAGGAGAGAAGGCACTGCAGTGCGGCAGACTAATGACAGAGACAGGGAGACTCCTTGCTCTCTCTTTCCTCTCAGGCTGACTCGGGCTGCCATGAATCATCCCCTCACTCTGCGCGGGCAAGAACCCCATTCCTCAGCCAGAGCCTTCCAGTGAATTCTTCTGGAGACAACCTACAAAGAGCGAGTGTGCAAGGAAGCCAGCCTGTACACGCACTGTTTCTCGAGGCTGACCTCCTCCCACTGGACGCCCTTCTTGCCTGGGTAAGCAGTGGACTCTCCACCAACCACCGGCCCGCCGGCTCCCGGTGCAGCATTTCACACCAGAGGGCAACAAGTGAGGCCAGGAGAGAGTGTCCTGGGGAGCTGGGGGCAGCACCAGGTGGCTCTTCCAGCAATGAGCTGGAACCATCTTCCCCTTGGCATGGGAAGAAAGCTACAGCTTCCCATCAGTTACCACCAAGCTTGGCATGTGGGAGGGACGAAGGAAGGCCTCGCGCTGCCTGTGGATTAATGACTGTGCTGACAGGAGGCATGGATTCTTGGCTCCGTTTCACTATTGACTTGGTGTTTTCTGGCACAAGTTAATCATACTTCCCCCTCATTTAACAAGCCCTCAAGAAGGAGTTGTTTTCTTCTATTCTGTGAGGGACTGGAGATGCAAAGAGTTAGGAGACATGTGCTCTGCTACGAAGACACATGCAGGGTAGTGGGAGGGACAGACACAGCAACTTTGGTTTCGGCATCTGTCAAACGGGAAGAATGTACCCACTGACGGTGGATGGGATGAGGCCCATGAAGCACGTGGCACAGCGCCGGTGCCTAACAGGCCCTCTGTAAGAATGGTCATTGAACACTAAGATAGACTACTGTAATGAATGGATGCTGGGCCAAAGGCGCAGAGACAGGGCACCTGGCTCATTGGCACGGGGATTGGGGAAGGGTTGTTAGTTGATGGAAATGCATTTGGGAAGATATCTGAGCAAAATCTAACAGTACTGTTATCGGTTAACATTTGTTAATGGCCTTTGCAGAAAGACTAATTCTCACAAATATAGGAAATAAGTACTATTAGTCTCTCATTTTACTGATGAATAGTTCGACTCAGAGTCCATACATCCTGGAGGTGGGAGAGTCGGGATTTGAACCTGCGCTTGCAGACTCCCAAGCCTCAGTGTTACTCTGATGCCGATGAGAAGATTTCACTCTAGTACACGCCGTACACAAGGGTGGGGGCGGGGGCGGTGCTGGTACGCATGCTCAGGACAGGCCAAGGTGGGAGTGCACCGAGGTACGTAGCATAAAGGGAATGTAATCTCTGGGTCTGTTTACTAAAAAATTGTATTAAGGAGTAGGAACAGGAATGTGTTAGGTCACTACTGTCACTGTCACTGTCACCAAGTCTATTCTGACTCATAGGGACCCTGTAGGGCAAGGTGGACTTGAAATCCTTTCGGGAGCAATATGTATAAACTGTAAGTTGTCCACGCAAATCCCAACCTATACAAGTGCACATCTGACAGAAACCGACCACTCTATACTTTTTCAAATTTCCCCTGGCATGGAATGAAAAGGAGCATTTATACAGCCTCCCTTTTCATGCTTCATCTTCTGTCTCTGGGCTTCACGTGAGAGCCCTTAGGAGCCTCGCTTACTCTTCTCTACAACCTGCGGAGTTCATCAGTCTCGCTCCATTGCAACGCTGCTTAGAACCACCGCCGCATCAGAATCAGTGCAGATCTGAAACGAGCACCTGTCTTGCAGTTTGCGGGTTCCTGGGCCCCACCTTCCTCGGACCTGCTGACTCAGAACTGATCTTTGGCATGTACGCACACTAATATTTGCAAAGGCTATCCCATTTAGCTGAGCTCCAACTGAAGACACGAAGCCCAGTGTTTGAGAGAATCTGCGTTAACCAGAAAAACTCCAGGCAGGAGAGTGAGCCCATCAGTCCGCCTTGGCAACGCTGGCTAACCTCAGAGCTCTGGACACTCGTGGACAAAACAATGGAGACCGGTAAACTGGCCACCCCACCCCACCAGTCCACTCAATTTGTCCTCAGGTGTCCCTCCCTGTTGCTGTGGCTCCGAGCACCCCTGCAGCCACAGGGACACGGGGCAGCAGCACTGGGCTTTCCACTTTTCCTCTTTTTAAAAAATAAACTCTACTAAGTGTTACTTAGGTACAAAAAGGACAAGCAATTTAGTGCACAGTGAGCATTTTGATAAATGTACTGGGGGGCTTCAAAAAGTTCATGAAAAAATGGAAGTAAAAGATAGGGAATTTTTCCATAAACTTTTTTTTACAGTTTATTGGTGTAGTGGTTATGTGTTGGGCTGCGATCCTCATGGTTAGCAGTTCAAAACCATCAGCAGCTCCTTGAGAGAAAGGCTGGGCTTTCTAATCCCATAAGCAGTTAGTCTCAAAATCCCACAGGGGGTGCTTATGAGTCATCATTGACGCTATAGCAACGAGTATGGGTTCTTTTATTGGTTATTGGGGCATAATCCACATATCAGACAATAATTCAAACTTATCAAGAAGAGTTATATATAAACTACTGGGGAAAATATAAATTGTACAATCACCACCACAATCAATTTTAGAGCATTTCTTCTTTCTTATACTCCTGTTACCCCAAAACTTTTTGAAGCCCCTCGTACCTGCCTGTGTATGAGCCACCACAATCAAGACCTGGCACTCTGTACCACGGAGGCATGATCCCCCATCTACACGCAGAGGGAGGGGCAGCGTTTCCCGGGCACGAAGCTCAGAAGCGCTAAGGAGCGTGCGGAATGGAGACCGTAAACAGGTGAGGGAGTGGGATGAGTGATGTCACGCTGTGGGACTGTCATCAATCAAGGGAAAGTGTGTACGAACTGTCGAATGGAAAATCGATCTGCTATGTAAACCTTCAGCCAATTCACAACAAAAAGCTTTTTTAAAAAACCCTCCCTCGCAAAAAACAAACAAACAAAAAAACCTCCCTTAGGCCTTTGGAAATTAATCTCCCTCTTGAACCTTAGGAAACCTCTGAACCACTTTCCAGATTTGCTGTTGGGGTTTCCCCTCTATAACTTTACGTACATGGAATCAATTGTAGCATTTTGTGTCTGGCTTGTTTCACTCCACGGAATTGTTTTTGAGATTCAGGAGGCTGCATGGGTCAGCAAGCTGTGCGTTCTCGCTGCTCCTCTTATTGCATGCAGCTCTGCCGTGGTACACAACTGCTGCTGTACGTGCACAAGGCTCTGTGGACACAGATTCTCATTCTCCTTGGACAAAGACCGAGAGTGGTATTTAAGAGGCCAGAGTGTCTTTAATGGTCAAATCCATATCTAGTCAGGTCAGTCATGGCTTTGGGCCTATGTACAACCTGGTCCAGTGGACAGACAGTGTGGGTTGAGCCTGTCATGTTCCAGGTAATAAGGATGCTACAAATGAAAATCAGGGTGATACTTTGCTCTAGCTATTAAATCAAAGCGCCAAAATCTTAGGATCAAGAATTACACATCGGTTCTCAAAGGCTTTTAAACCACCCTCTGATGCAAAACGAGAAAATTCAAAACCTAACAGCTAGCAAACCATCTCTTACCTCTGTGCATAATCTTGTGTTTCTCCCTGAGGTAGGTCAGTCCCTTGATTACCTAGAGGGACGCAAACAGCAGAGATGGGAAGTGAATGACGGTCTGGAGAAGGGACTCGGTCGCTCTGAAAGTGATCTAGAAAGTGCATTTTATCTAATAGCACACATCTGCCTTCTTTGTTCATTTGAAATGTTCTCTTTTGTTTCATTTTCAACCTATCATATCAAGCAACCAGATTTTTCAAATGGTACACAGAATATTATTTTTAAGTAAAATCAATTTCTGCAAGTTTAAACAACTTTTTTTACCCCGCCCCCCCTCCTTATTTTACCCCTAATTTAAAACACAAGATCTCTGACGCCACAAATGGGAAGGCCCTTGGACACAGATTTTAATAACTTTTGACCTCCAACAAAACGGAGAGAAAGGGTATGTCTCAGTGAGAGAAAATTCTAGAGAGAAAACCCTCTTTTTCTTATAATCTTCCCTTTTACTGGCTTTCTACCTTCCTCCCTCGGTCCATTTCCCATACTTACAGCAATGCTGACTTTTCCTAGAATTTGTTCAGGAATTCTTCCGGCTTTCTTCAGGACTTGATCCAAGGAACCCCCATCCTAAGAATAGGAATGCGGCCCAGTCAGTAACAATGTTGTTAGCTATGCTTGCAAAGGTTACATTTGATGAGGAAAGGGATTCGTGTGTGGCAAACCCTTCCGGTTCATCAGCATCTTAGGAGGTTTCATATAATCAGTCAGTAACAATGTTGTTAGCTATGCTTGCAAAGGTTACATTTGATGAGGAAAGGGATTCATGTGTGGCAAACCCCTCCGGTTCATCAGCGTTTTAGGAGGTTTCATATAATCAGTCAGTAACAATGTTGTTAGCTATGCTTGCAAGGGTTACAGAATTTGATGAGGAAAAGATCGTGGCAAACCCTTCCGGTTCATCAGCGTTTTAGGAGGTTTCATATAACTGGGAACTCAAGCCCTATGAATAATCACTAAGCAAATGGCTGAGTGGTCACAAGAGGGCGTGTCTGGCCCGGCACTGCCAGCGTGGTGTGGAAGTAGGTGTGCAGGCTCTGCACCAGGGTCTAATGCTCCTCCTCTTTGTTACTCGCTGTCTTGATGGCCCTCACCAAGTCACTCATGTTATAAACTCAGACTCGACGCCCAGCAACCCGAGGCCAGGGTAGAGCTGCCCTGTGAGTTTCACTGAGTAGAAAGGCCCCACCGTTCCCCCTCGGAGTGGCTGGTGGTTTCAAACTGCTGACCTTGAGGTTAACAACCCAATGCATAACCACTAAGCCACCAAGTTATAAAACAAGGACAATAACTATAAGGTGATCATCCTAGTCACAGGACTATTGTAAGGGTTAATATGCAAATCAATACACAAGCTAAAACACATAAGACAATGTTTAGCAATTGCCGAATAAATGCCTGCATCCTAAACTTGCGTTAGTATTATCTTAATTAATCAAAACTGATTCAATCCAAAGAAAAAATGTCATGAGAAGCAATAATTCATTCCACAAATCCCAGAATGCCCCCACAGACTATGCTAGCTTTTATGGGGGGAATTTAGAGATGAAAGAAACACTGTTCTTGTCTTCAATAAACTTAAAAACTTGTAGAGGAAATAATTCTCAACCAAATATAATGAAACAGAAGAATTCCTTAAGAAAAGTGCTTTAGACATGCAGAAGAAACAAGACGTACTTCAGAATTCATCTAGAAGATGTCATTTGAGCTAAACCCTAAATACCGAATGATTTAAAGATGAAATGATTTCCAAAACTTGGAAAGGACTTTAAACACCACAATGTAACAGAATAACGGCAAAGAAAATCAAGACGTTTTCTCATCAAAATAAATGGTTTCCGAAGGTTGATGGTTCAAACCCTGCCAGAATGGCCCCGAAGACAGGCCTAGTGATCTGCTCTGAAAGGTCACGCGGCCCGGCCCTCTGTGGGATGGTCTTCTCTACACCGGTTCTCCAGGGTCGGACGGTCTATTTGGTGAGCTCTCACTGCAAGCAGCGGAGATCCAGTGGGATGGCGCTGTTTCACGGAAGGCAGTGGTAGGTAAGCTGGAAGTCACTGGGAGCTGGCATTTCACTCCAGGGAGGCAGCTGTGAAGAACTCAGAGCTAGGGATTTAAACAGCAGACCCACAGCATCCTGGAGGCACCGGGGTCAGGGTCAGAGTCCGAGCTGCTCGACTGGCAGGAGCCAGGCAGGAGAGCATAAGAGAAGATGAAGTGTGAGTGAGGTCAGGCTTCCCGTTCATGGGTCGACATCTTAACCGGAGATCCTGGACAGATGCTTTGATCCAGGGACCCTAATGTATCAAGGTACAAGTGTCCTTGTGTTCCCTTGGCCTCGGGTACTGCCAAATCACCTGCGATTACAAAAATCACCCTCAGAAGTAGAAACCATTCCCACAAAGCCAAACTCAAAGTGTCCTAGCTACACAGAGCAGTTACCGGTCACCACTCAAAATTTATCAAACGCCTGTGTGTAAGGAATGGGGACATCTAAGGCAAAGGGGGACAGAAAACAAAAGCGTGTAAGGCATCGGGGTGTGCAAGGGACTAGGTATGGGAAAGGCAGTAACTGACAGGGAGCACACACATGCAGGAGAGGAGGGATGATTTCTGAAGGCAGACAGCTCAGTGAAGAGCTCACAACAGGACGTGACACTGACGCCAGACCTTGGACTGAAAGACCAAATCATATCACCGCCTTCAGGTCTGTTCCACTGAGAGTGGCCCACAGGGGAGGGGGCTGCTCCACAGGGGTCTGAGGCTGTGAACGCACTGGAAGCAGGCAGCCTCATCTGTGTCCTGTGGAGCAGCTGGCCCCCATAGGTTGAGAGAAGTCCCCACAGACATCCAAACTGCCCAGCTTTCCAGATAAAACCACGCCACATGGGGCTCTGGAACAATACAAAGCAGTAACACAGCAACACAATGAACAAAAGCCAAGGAAAGCTTAACCCGGCTTTCATAAAAGATAACCAAGCGGATGGCTGTACGCTCTCACAAGGCCAGGTCATCACACGTGTTAAGCGGGATCACCTCCATTCTAGGCGGGAAGAGTATCGGGGGCCTTGTTGTGTGCCAGCTTCTCTACTGTTACAGATTTCCCACCGCGAGTGTTTCATCTTTTTGAATTCGGAACCCATTTATGAAAGTGGGGAGTGAATCCACAGTCCATGAGCAGGCACTTACCAAGCTGCTCTTTTGTGCAAAGGCAGTATTTGGGAGGGAGAAAACGACTTCTTTCTAGAGGAGCCAAAGAAGTAAGCCCGGCTCCTTCAAGGATTCACAGCTCCCGGGAAACTGCACAAAACAAGCTGGAAATAGACCACCAGCTACAAACCCCATGCTCAGGGTGAGGAACGTGGCTTGGAAATAGATAGTGGATGGTTGTACAACACGACGAAGGGATTTAATGGCATGATCAGCACATTCGAAAATGGTGACGGTGGACATGCTTATCTTATATGTATTTCACCACAATCAGACACAATTTTAACTCTGTTTACACAAAAGAGGGCTTGGGACCAATCAGTTTTCTGTTAGAGTCAATTCTGGATCATGAATGCCAATAAAAAGAAGTGGGGCAGACAGGAATTCTCAAACACAAGACAGCTTCACCCCAAAACACTAACATCCCTGAATGTTTGTTGTTTGAACATAATAAACTCCACACAGACGCCCTGACGGTGGGTCAGTGAACCCAGGAGCATGGGGAGAGTCTAAAAAGTAACCTACAATTTCACAAAGCCATAGCTCACCTACTGGGGGTGTAGTGAGTACGCACTGGGCTGCTAAGGTCTCGTCCAGCACTTCAAAACCACCGGCTACTCCATGGGAGAAAGATGAGGCTTTACGTTCCCATCAAGATTTACAGCCTGGGAACCCCCCAACCCCACCTGCTGGGCTGGGGGGATGTTCTACTCTGCCTTATGGGGTTGCTATGAGTTAGAATTAACAGTGAGTATTAATGATAATCTCAGTGTGAAGTCACAAATCTTAAGCTAAATCGAACCCTCTTTAAACACTCTGACTTTCCCAGTCTGAGGCCCTGTGGTCCAATCAGGACACTAGCTAGCCACACCCAAGTCAGCAGAAGTTATCAAATCAAGACTGTTATCAACAACACAACAACAAAACCTGGTTCTTTGGAGTTGGTTTCTAGGTCCCTGGGATTTTCAGGGACTGATCTGTTCTGAAGCCCCTCACCAGGCCTTTCTCCTGAAAGACCTCTAGGTAGACTCAAACCACCAACCTTTCTTTCAACCTTTCTTTCTGTTAGCAGCTGAGCCTTTCCCCATTTGCTCCATCCACCAGCTCAGAACCCAGAGGCTCCACTTAAAGGAAACCCCAAACAGCTGCCCTTGAATAAATAAATGCCAGGGCGCAGGGCAGAGCTGCTCCGGGAGGCCTGAAGGCTGTGACCTTTCAGAAGTAGGGCTCCAGGCCTGTCTTCCAAAGTGCCTCGCGTGTATCTGAAGTGCCAGCCTCGCGTCAGTAACCAAACGCTCAGCCATCGGTGTTGCGCAAGGACTCGGCTGGCTATCAGATAAGGAGAGGAAGCACGTGCCGCTGCTTCTATTCTGCTTCCAGCGAATGTGGTTTCAGCTTCACGGTTTGAATAAGACTTTGCCTAATCTTCAGGGAAGACTCTATCCTACATGCAAAAAATACCCAAAGTAGTTCTATAAAAATCTGATTCAAATGAGGCAGAAAAACTGCCTTGGCTCCCAGGCCCCAATGCCAGTTTAGCTGTGAACCGCACTGCCTCTGAAAGACCCCAAACAACGGCACAGGGACCCCACTTCTTTCTGGGCTAGAGCGAAGACCGCAGTGTTGGCAAAATCTAAGGGGCGAGCACCACAGTCAGGACACCCAGAGCGGCCTGAACCCAACCGCAAGCCACAATCCAAGTCCGTCCCAACTGGAGGGAAGAGCAAAGCTGCCCGTGCGGTCTCCGAGGCCCTGTGTCACCCTGCCTGCTGACAGCCATGTCATGCTGCAGCACAGCGCCTGATGGAGGCGAACCACCCGGCCTCTGTATCCTCCGGCGGGCGAGCGCTCTGACCACCGCGTCGGCAGGACCCTGAAACGAACCCCCAGCCCTCTCATGGGGTATCGCTGTTACCAAGCACTTGCCTTCAGTGACTACAGCTGCTGAAAGGGTGCTGTATTTTTAGAAGCCGATTATTAACTAAGTCAATGGGGCTTTTGTGAAGCTTTTCTGTGGAGGAGACAGATGCTTTTATGAAAATAATGGCTCAAAAGCTTTTCCTCCTGCAGGAGAATGAGCCCCCATTCCCGAACGCCCTGTGCTCCGGTTGTTCAGCTACCACCTGAGCAGCAACCGACCCCCAAAGATCAACGCACTCCTGTTCTTATCAGGGGGCACTCTCTCCCTCCTTGGGGCTCAGCCTCCAGCCTGGGAGGTGGGCACAGACCAAGGGGCTTCAAGAAAGTCAGATACAATCCGTTATCTTTGAACTCTCTTTTCCCGTGACCTTTCTGAAGCCCCATGGCCTATTTCCAGGAGAGGCCGGCCCCTAGCTGAGTGATGTAGACCAGGAGACTCAACAATGCTCGTGCAACCAACTCGCTTTGAAACATTATCTTGAGGGGAAACATAAAGAGTAAAGCGTTGCACAATGGATAGATACGGAGCCACACTGCAGAGGCTCGAGGGTGAAGTCACGGGTGTACACTGCCTTCAGCGGCATGCGTTTGGACATGTTCATAATCAAGTGCTGCAGGAAATGTGAACGACACAGAACAGCATGCCAAGACTGTGACACAGAGGAGGGCCACAGAACCTCTGGAGATGGGTCAAGCTCAGCTCTGTGGGGCATCACCTTTGAAATGCAGCATCTGGGGCGGAGAAGAAATCCCAAGAGAGCACGCTGCCAACCAACCAGGAAGCTGCAACAGTTCTCCTGTGGGAGGGGCCTACTCAGGGACCAGGAAGGGGCAGAAAGCCAGGCTGACCCTCGGGGTGCTTGAACTCTGAGGCAAACCCCGCTTCTATGCAAGCTCTGCACTAGCGTCCATGCACTGGGCAGCTGTGCTCGGGGCCCGTTTGCCCACGTGCCGGCCTTGCAGCCTACAACTCTACCGCTGAGCCCTGGCCCGCTCTCATCAATCACTTAGCAGGGTCACCTAATAGGTGCCTGGCATGCTGCTTGACCCTCAAAAGCTTTTTGCCTTCCCACTCCTCCAGCCAGCCCATTTTCTGGGCCTGGGCTCCGGCTCCACAGAGTAACTTCAGAGATGGCTTCTGCTGGAGGGATGTTTGTGGGAGGACTGCAGTAGTCCCAGAGGGCCAAGTCGATGGGAAAAAAGCTGACCTCCAGACCCTGGAAACAGGCCCCTGCTGTGTCCTCCTCTTCCTTCCTGGAGAGGAAGGTTTGGGGGTAGAGTAAGGGACAGAAGGATGTGCTCAACATCCAAGGAGGTGGAGTGAACAGAGAGGTTCCAGAATAATGAGGGAGTGTCCTCAGCTCTCAAAATAGTGCAAATCTACGTGGGGCAGGAGGCTGGCCTGAGTAAATGAACAGGTGGTCGGCCACCAAAGTCTGGGGCCTACTTCTGACCTCGGCAGAATCTTGGGGTTGGAATCAAGTGCAAGGCCGGGAAGAGGAGACAGGGACGCTGCGAAACAACAGGCTTATCAGACTCTGGACATCCAGAGACGGGGGCGGAGCACGCCAGGACCAGGGCCACACAGGGAGCTGCAGCCAGGGCCAGAGTGACAAGCTGCAGGGCTTACGCAGGGCAAGAGGGTGGGGTTAGCTAGGTTTCCTAGGCCTGCTGGGGATTGGGCATCCTGAGTAACTCTGCAGGCTGAGAGTGAATAGAGATGGCTCCTAGGTGTTAGGGATCTGGGCCCAGGGCAATCAGGAAAGATGGCCAGGAGTGTGAGAACCTTCCAAGGGGAGTGATTGGAGGGTGGATTTTAGCAGCTGCCCAAGCATGGGAACAAACTGGCCTCCAGACTGGACCTCAAAACCAGGCCAAATAGCGTAAAAGTACACAATGGTCTCCTGGCTTCCCTGCTAGAGGGAGAACTCAGGGTGGGGTCCAGACTGGGAGCTAACCCAGGAAAGCGTTCTGGGGACTTTGAGGACAGTAGGCATAACAGGACACATGGCTGGGGCTCTGGAGCCTTTACATGCACACTCATACCATCCCTGACCTCCAGACCAGGTGAGGGGTGGGTGACCCCCCTGGTACACCCCCACCCCCCACCGCCAATGCCCTGACAGTCCTGGAACACAGCCATGCTGCCTCTGGACAGCTCTGGAAGGAAGAGATGCAGCTCAAGGGGGCTGCACCCAACCAGCAGCTCACAGGGCATCTTGGAAATCGCAAGCACTAAAAATAAGTGTTTGTGAAACCCAATCCTTGTTGATTAATTACTGTTAATGTAAGCCCTGCCTAACAGCTCCAAGGGCCCCAACCCATAGAAACACCATCTGGTCCAAGAAGCTTCACAGCAGAGTGGAGGACACCCAGACAGGGGGCACCGTCACCCGGGGCAGGGGCGAGTATGAAATTTAAAGAGAGCAGATGGGTTAGGGTCTAACGCAGCTATTCATTGGCTGAGACTGTGGCCTAATTATCAACCTTTCGGAGCCTCGCTTTCTCCACCTCCCAGCCGGGGTGGGTCAATAATCCTTCTCACGTGACTGGAGCGATGGGATCAATAACGTTCACAACGTACAAAGACTTGGCAAGTGGCGGTGAGATGGCGAGAGCTGGTTGCTATTCTGTCTGGTCACCTCCCCAAGCACTTCCGTCCCTTTGGCAAGACATCAGATGGAAGCAGCTGCTCTGACCTCTCCTCTCACTGGCTTATCACCATGGTCACCACCCTCTTCTTGGTCTACTTTTCTAGAACCATACTGCCCTCCACATACTGTTGGCCTAGAGCCAGAAACGCCGTCACAGCCAAGGGCAGGGGAGAGCAGCAGGAGGTGGAACAGCCCCCTCCCCACGCAAGGGGAGGTCAAGACCCCTGTGAAAAATAACCAGCATGCAGTCCAGGAGCCAGCCCCAGCCAGCGGTGTTCACGTGCACCCTGCGGAGAGTGTTCTGCTGGAAAGGAACACGTGCTTTCCCAAGACCCTTCAGCCACGCGCAGCACACTTTACGAATCCACGGCACAGATGGCACCCACAGATGCCTGCACAAGTGGGAGCAGCGCTTCTCACCGTTCAACTGAAGAGACGTTTGGAACCACACGCCAAGCCTCTGTGGAGGTCACTGGGGCGAGGCTCTGGGACTCTGAGACGGGGAGCGAGCCTGGGAGGAGGTGAGGACTGCTTGCGGGATAGTACACAGGAGCCTTGAAGGAGGCAGACCCCACTGGATCAGCCTGTGTCGCTCAATTGCCAGCCTCAAGGTGGACAGAGCAAAAAAACCGAGCTGAGCGCGGTTCAGCGAATTTTCTGGCTATCTTGTTCACCTTCATAAGCCCCAAGCCTTGTAGCTAGCACACTGCACTGAATGGATTTTAACTATATTAACAGAAGGCACTCGGCGCCAGGCTGAGGGCCACGTTCGCAGCCGCTATTTTAATTAATCCATGGAACAGCAACACAAGTAGAACACAGGCCATTTAACTGAGGGTCAAAAGGGAAAAGAGTTTGCCCATGGTCACAAAAAAGTGGTGCAGTCAGTCAAGTGGTTCCTGAACACACTGGCAAACAAGACCAGTCCCGACTGGAGAAGGGAGATTTGAATAAAGGTCTGCCAGATTCCAAGATCCCTGTGCCACACTACCTGATGGGAGATAGACAGATGATCGATCGAGATGGATGGATGGATGGATGGATGGATGGATGGATGGATGGATGGATGGATGGAGAGAGAGAGAGAGATAAAAGAGTGCCTATAAAAGCCAGCCCTGGCTCACTTGAGGCCTGAAGTCCCCGGCTACTGTTTGGGGGATGCAGTGCAGTGCAGGCTTCGGGGAACCAGGCCTCAATTTCCACTCTACCAGTACCACTTTCTGCTGAGTAACTGCGGACATGTTATTCAATTTCTCTGAGCCTCACTTTCCTCATTTGGATAAATTACCCCCACCGATAACGCATTATGTCCACCTAACAAAGTTACTGTTGTGAAAATGCAGTAAAATATTAAATGTGCTTGTTACAACACACATTCAACACACACTATCTATCAGTAGCGTTGTCAGGCTGGTATTTTTAGGAGCTGGGAAGAGAAGGGCCCCCGTGCTGCGCATGGTAAATGGCTGGCAGCTCACTTACACAGATCAACCCATAATGACGTTCTCACTGGTCCTCCTCCATCCACCAGGGGCGCCAGTGGGATTACGTCTCCCTGCTCCGAAGAACCCCTTCCGATTGCCTTTAAAGTAGACTATATGAGGAAATACCCCCCGCCCCACCAAACCGGAAAAACGCTCTACTTGGCAGAGCTTTCATAGTGCACATTTTTCCGCTAAGTGAGCATCAAGTAGGTGCACCTGGGAAGAAGGTTCTCTCTGGTCACACTGAATTTTTACATAAATGCAGTTTCACTTGAACCTCGTTTTTGTGATGGCCAATTTAAGAGAACAGCATATGGCTGTGAAGTTTTGTTTCCTGCTGGAGAAAAATGCTGCAGAAACTGCTGTGATGTTGAAAATAGCTTACAAGGACAGCGCTATGGGGAAAAACTCCAGCGTCCAAGCGGTTTTCTCATTTCAAAAAAAGGTGAAATGTTGATTGATGACAAACCTCGTTCTGGACATCCGTCATCTTCCCCAACAGACGAAACTATCAACAAAATGCGTGCACTCGTGCTATAAGACCGACACCGGGTCACTGAGGAGATCGAGGCGTTTTCTGGCTATCTTGTTCACCTTCATAACCCCAGAATCTTGTACCTAGCACACTGCACTGGATGGCTTTTAACTATATTAACAGATTTTACCACATCCAAACCTCGAGTCAGCAGGGCTGCAGAACACTGGAAGCCAAGTGCTTTGGACACCCCCACCAGAAATACAGGCTCTTTGCCATCTTGGGCCTGGGCAGAAACCAGTAAGACAGGCTGTCGTCTTTCGGCTCTTCTAAATCCTGCAGTGTGGCTTTCCGCATGCCCAGAGCAGTGGTGTGGGCTAGGGAACAGCAGGGTGTTAGCTGGTCACGTCTGAGAGCAAAGGTTAGCCCATGGCTGCCTGTCTCCCAGGCCCGCGCGACAGAGCCTGAAAGGCCGCCACATACCATGTGCTCCATGCAGATGCTGATCTCCCCGTCGCTGTAGAAGGCCCCGTAGAAGCCCACGATGTAGGGCGAGTTGCACTCATGCAGCACCTGCAGCTCCCTTATGATCTGATTCCGGATGGCCGGTTTGATCTCCAGGTGAATGAGCTGGGAAAGGTGGGAGGAAAAGAGGCTGTATGTGCAATGGACGGATAAGTGGATAAAGGGATGGACAGACTGATACACAGATGGATGCATGGAATCTTTATTAAATGCCTAAACTCTTAAAGGCAGTGGCAGGGGAAACAGGAACATTTACAAGCCAGTTTCTGACCAACCAAAGCAGAATATACCGGAGCAGGCACCGTCCTCACAGGAGGAGCTGCAACCAGGAGGGGGTTGGCTGTGACACTGGTCATAGCGCCAAGAGTGGGGAAGAGGGGCCACCTCTCTTCTAAAGCAGAGTTGAGTTGGGGGCTTCCTCCAAAAAGACCTGTGGAGCGGAGTCATGTGGGGCAGTGGCCTTGAGGGCGTGGTTCATACCAAAGGTCGTGGGAATGAGGCCCTGGGATGCACTGGACCTACGCTGCCCGAGACATTTCTTCTTGACCTCAGGAGCCTGGTGAGGGCAAATTTAGCCAAGGTTTCAAGTCCTAACACCGTCCCCTGTTCCAGCTAGGGAGACAAGCAACAAACATAAGAAACAGCTACCTGATAGGCTGGAGCTTTGGAAAAGACCTGGAGACCCGGAGTATCAGGGGACACAGAAGCAGTAGCCACCAGTGGGGGCTGGCGAGAGCTCTACAAGAGATGGCCCCGTCTGAAAGGGTGGCGGGAGCGGCAGCACAAACACACCGGGGACAGAAACAAACACGGGAGCCCGGGCTTGCCTCTCTGGCGGAGACCCACACAGAGGACAGGGCAGTCCAGCGTGCGAGGGTGGACAGAGCAGCGAGACGAAGATACCTGGTGCATGAAGGCCACTCCTGCACCTGGAAAGTGACCAGCAGGCACCCTGCTCGCTCTGACACAGCACCCAGAGCGCTAAGGGAAGGTCACGTGCTGGTTTTGCCCAGAAGTCATCGGTGGGTTTGTCTGACAGCTATGAAATCAGGAGTTAGAATTCAAACGGCACTCAAAGGTGTTAGGTGAAAAGCCGGTCTCCTTTCCACTCTGGTTTGCAGGTCCCCGGGGTCCTGAGAGAAAACCCAAACACCTGTTTACCAAGACAAACGTGACTCAGTCCTTGAGGGAGCGGCCTCACCTTTCTGGCCATGACCAGGCCGGACGGCTTGTGAGAGACTTTGAACACCACTCCGCCATTGCCGGCGCCCAGCTCGCTGATCTTCTCGAAGTCGTCGTCCTTCAGCTCGCCCACCTGCTGCTTCTGGGTCAGAAAGGCCTCCAGGCGCTTCCGCTGCTGCTCGTCCAGCTCCAGCTCCTCCAGCTTCTTCTGCAAGGCCTCCAGGCTCGTCCTGCGGGCACGGCAGAGGTCAGCGGAGCCTCCGGAGACAGCACCCCAGGTCTAGAGCGAGGAGGTGGGGAGGCGCTGGGGGTGGAACAGCACTCCGTCCAGCTGGGCTCTGCCCCGCCCACTCTGGCCACCCACCGTGTCACCTCTCAGCACATGCGTTCCCTTGTTTATAAAACAAGGGAAAGTGCTGCAAGTCTACGGGGGAACCGGAATCTACTCAGATCAAAACATACCACCGGGTTGGCTTTGAAGCCCAAGTGCCAACGGTCCAGTCAAAGTTGATTTTGTTAAGCGTTCATTATACACAAAATAAAATCTATTTCCTAAAACCAGGGCTCAGAGATCAAAGCCAAGCTCCGAAGCCGGCTCTCCACTGCAAGGCGACAGCAGAAACCTTCAAGTCTCGCATAATGAGGTCCAGGAGCCAGACTCATCAAGAACGTCAGATCAAGGGACAAGAGAGATGCTACGAGAGGGCTTCACCATGGTCATTTAAATCCCCTTTTCCAAGGGCATTTTGAGCCCCTGTGTGCATCCCATGCAGTCCTCCACCATCTCTGAACACAGGGCGAGGTCCACTGGCCAGAGCTGCACGTCCCCTTCCTTCCTTCCGTGAACAGGGTCATGAGACATGATCGGTGGGTCTCAACTCCTGGTCCTTTACAGAAGGGAGTGAAAAGGTAGGTCTGTGCATGAGTAATCTCAGTATGAAACGCTAGTTTTAGGATTCCCTGCCTCACAGTACTAAAGCCCATCTGATTTGACAGCAATATGTAGTATATCATATATACTCGTGTATAAGCCGAGGTTTTGTTTTTTAGTGGTAAAATTAGGTGCCTCGGCTGATATTCGGGTCAGCTTATACTCGAGTGTATATGGTAGTTACACATCATATATGTATGTGTATGACAAAACATTGGACAGGTTTAACATGTAAGGACACCTCATGTCACTGTAAAATGATATGGATTATGTTCTTTGTGCTGCGCAACCATTACCGTGATACAGTGATTGTGCTCAGGGGTTTCGATTTATCGAGCCCACAGCTCTTCTTCAACAGTGTTCACAGAGCAAGCAAAGCAGGAAAATGGCTTCATTTGCATATTTCGTGTTTCATCCGTTTGATATCTTAAACATACCACTTGATGACACTCACAGTGACAAGCAGCAAAGACGGGTTCTGGAGCAGAGTGGCTCTCAGCACGAGCCCACAGTATCCAGCCAGTGGGAGCGGAGTGAGTGGGGAGTGAATGGGTAAGGTGCCGCCCTGGGCAATACTCGAGTCCTCCCAGGGGCGCTGGAAAGCAAGCGTTTGCCACCGGAGAGCTGGTCAAGGAAAGTGGATGGGAGTTCCCGGGTATCACTTGATTTCTGACCCTCATGGCACTGCAGGGTAAGCTCTGCACAGCTAATTGCAGGGTTCTTCGGTTCAACCACAGGAGAAAGATAAAGACTTAAAGATAAAGTCTCCTCTAAAGCCTTACAGCCTCAGAACCACTACATGAGTCCCTGTGAATCAGAACTGACTCCATGGCAGTGGGTGTGGTTTGTCTTCATCCAAACAGGTGACTTAAGCGTGACAGGGGGATATGCCAGGTCATCACATGTGAGGACATTGGCTGACCACACACACACACACAAAATTTCTCACCTTCAAGGGTAGACCTAGACATACCGTATATAATCGTGTATAAGCAGAATTTTCCAGCATTTTTTAAATCATTTTATTAGGGGCTCATACAACTCTTATCACAATCCATACATACATCAATTGTGAAAAGCGCATTTGTACATTCATTGCCCTCATCATTCTCAAAACATTTCCTCTCCCACTTAAGCCCCCGGCATTAGGTCCTCATTTTTCCCC